AGTGAGTCAGCTGTGAGGATAAAATACAGCTCCCGGATCCCAGCCCTGAGTTTGGTTCTGTTGTTAACCTTTCGTGCACTAATGACAACCCTCTGCAAAATGTTGGTTTTAATGTAAAATTGAAGATTATTTATGTGCATTTGCAATTAAATGGTTTCTGACTGAACAGAGTTAACTCTAAAAAGATTTTTCTTTGTTAATATTTCAGGGTCCTAGCTTAAGTGAACACACTGTCTTCTTCATCTTACACAGTTTGTTTGATTTGGTTAGAGGTAAAACCTCTTTAAAGCCCCTTTAAAAGCAGTGACAGTCTGTGAAGACTTAGCATTACATTTATTGCCACATGTTCTCAGTGGCACCATACACAGTATGTGTTCAATCACAAAGGAAATGCAAAGCAGTGTCACAATTAGTTTCTCTCCACTTTTTGATCATGCAAACTTAATTTAATTAGAAGGCATACTGAAGGGTTTAAAGAGTACTCTGCCTTCTTAATTTTCCTTTGCAAGCCATGGCTAATTGTTCCTGAGCAGCAGCTAAAGCTTTACACTCCCTCTGAGAATTGGGGATGTAACTTTCCAAGTGTGTTCAGGCAACTGTTGCTCAACTTATTTAGGCTACTGGAGTCTCAGCTTCAGTCGCAGAAGAAGAGCCACGAGAATGAACTGGAATCGCTGCGAGGTGAGATCCAGAGTCTGAAGGAAGAAAACAATCGCCAGCAGCAGCTCCTAGCCCAGAACCTGCAGCTGCCTCCAGAGGCCCGCATTGAAGCCAGTCTACAGCATGAGATCACCCGGCTGACTAATGAGAACTTGGTAAGGGAAATGGTGCTGCCGGAGCGGGCTAGGGGACTTACAGACCTCCTGCGCCTGTAAGTTCTCACCAGTTTTCAGATGGCAACCTCCTGCAAAAAATTGCCTCAGTTCAGTGTTTTTTTTGTAGGTAAGCTAATGGGAGAGAGACTTATGATTGGTGATGAAGTAATAATGTTTCAGGGAATTTGTTCAACGTTTGTGGCATGGAGAAAGCTCGTGGATCCCAGCTTTCAACTGATAAGTTTAATCATTGCTAAATACAATGATTGATATCCAGGGAACTCATAAAAAAAATAGTGCCACGTAGTGGTGTTTCCTCTGAACTATATTAGTTTGTTTGTTTATTTTGTGGAAAAACTGTGATGTAGTTCTTCAATTATTTAATGTCTCTTTTCTTCCCGTTTCCCTCCTCCCTGCCTGAAGCTACCCAGATAATCCTCTCTGTTATGAGCTCCAGCCGTTCAGTATGTTTTGAGGAAAGAAATAGTTTCAGAAAAATAAACTTGGTTAGAAGTCACTTAGCTAATAATTGCTATTCCTTGTTTACTGCACAGCATTTTTGTATGAAGGAAAGATGAGGTGAAACTCCTTACCTTTCCCTGCAAAGGAGTATGTTCATCATGTGCAGGCTGGTTCAATTCTGGGGAAATCTCCCAAAGAGGCCCATGTTGGAATATCGTTGGCTTATCACTGTTTATTGGTAAAGGGAACCATGCTACTTCAGGGAGAAAAATCCTAGCTCTGAGTGTCATTGGTTCCTCTAAACAAGCCAAGGTGTAGTCTTTCCTGCTTATGTATGTTACAGAAATTATCACTGTTGAGCTCTTGTCTTAGTACCAGAGGCTTTGAGGAAAGCATCAGATAATTCAGTGAGTAGATCTTGGAAAACTGATTCAAAGTATATTATAAGTTTGCCTCAGCAGCAGCTGTCTCCTACTGGCAAAGGTAAATGGCGAATGTTTCCATCTCTGACAGGTCCCTCCTGCTGCTTAGTTGTATGTTATGATTTTTAGCCTTTTTTTCCCCCCCAAGAGACCTACTCATCACATTCTGTGTTCCCAAGACAACACAGAGTCATGTAATTACATCCCAGAGGAGCTCTCTTTATTTTCAAATACAGTGAATGTAATTTTACTTGTTAAATATAGACTCATTCCTTAGTATTTTACTTCTGATGTTTTGAGTATTGCAAGTCCACTCCAAGTTGGGAATATGCTTCTTTTCCACTCCCAGCCCTAGAGTGGAAATAATTTACAGGCTTTCCAGATGTAATATTAGAATTGCAGTATTCACTGCAATCCCATCTCAATTAGCATAAGAAAATATCCTGTCCGTGTTCTCAGAAAGGTTATATTCCAGGCTTTCACAGTATTAGTACTGCCCATTTTTAAAAGATCTGACTGTTCTGCAACTCATCTACACCAGCTTCTCTCTGGGAGAGGCTGGAGTGAGCACCACACCTACGGACTAGACTACCTAAAAATTAGAGATTCTTGATCTTGTTTTAACCTGATTTCATTTATATAGTGGTTACTGAAGTACCAGTGTCTCAAAGGCAGGGGAAAAACTATCCTGTACCTATTTTTACAGTTTTATGAGGAGTTGTATGCAGATGATCCCAAGAAGTATCAATCGTACCGGATTTCACTTTACAAACGGATGATTGTATGTAGATCACGTGAATCCTACTTCTCTGTTGTCTCGTTCGCTATTTCTGGAGCACTAATTGAAAAGCAGGCTGCCTCCCTTTCTCCTTTTCAAAGGAAATCCCCTGCAGAGAGCTTCACGATGCCAATTACTTCCCTCACTGCTTTTTTTTGTTAGTCGTCTTAGTGTCCTCTGTGTAATCTCTGTCTCTTTTGAAGCACAGTTTTGTTACTAATATAAGTCTTGCACTGTGACCAAAGCAGTTTCTTTTTGAATAGTACTTAAGACTGCTGTGAAAAAGAGGTACATGATGCAAAAGATGCTCAATTTTCAGAACCACTTTTTGCTTTGAAACTTTGATACATTTAAATTCAGTTCAGCAAAACAGAGGCTTAATCATACAGATACTTACAAAGGTGAATAATGCCTGCAATTGTGAGTAACCCGGTCTTAGCCTGAATTTATTCATAGATCTCCTTACAGTGCTGACATCTGGAATGAATAAATCTATCAGAATCTAAATACATAACCTTTTAATATTTTTCAAAAATGCAAAGCCTGAAGGATAACATTGGAAATAATACTATATTTCCATAATAATTAAAGATAACAAATTGAGATAGCACCATATGTAATCTTGAAAGAATATAATTTATGAGACTCCAGATCTTAATGAGATGTGAAATCTGTCCAATTTAGAGGAACCATAGAAAGAACTTTTTTCCTCCTCACAGATTTGTTGTTCAGAAATCGTAGCCCTTTACTGATATTTTCAAAACAGTCTGTTGGACTTACATTTTTTTTTATTATCAATTTCAGTAGAAATTATTACATCTGATGATAAGTATATTGTGTTATTAATGGGATTTGTGTTGTAATATTGAACACTACTCTGAATACGAAGCATGGCCTTGATTCTGTTTTTTCAACAGGCCTAATATCTTACTGCTCCAGTGTATTATATTAGGTTGTAAACTCTTTATTACATGATTGAGAGCAATTTTGTGCCTAATTCAAATTTGCTGCACTAATATTTTTCAGTACTTTGTGTACTGGAAAGGTGTAGTTTCCCAGATGATGCTTTTGATGGAAGGAGCTCATGGTCCCTTATGTTCTTATCAGTGCTATGAAGAATCATGCTTACAAAACAGCATTTTTCTTTTAAGCTGCTTTCAAACACTTAACCTGGAACAGCTTTCAGGTTTTTTGAGCTTGAGGTTTTGCTTCCTTTAGAAAGACTTCCCCCTTTTTAATTACATGATTATTTCCTTAATGCACTACCATAGATCACAGAATTATTCAAAGATAGGTTTCTGGGGAGTGCTCCTTTGAAAGAAAAATACAGCTTTCTTGCAAGAGTAGGACTTTTAGGTGCTACGTGTTGTTCAGGTACAGAATAAAAAGATGTAAGATCCCAGTTTCTGTCTAAGGAAATGTGATGACAGCAAGCCATAGGGAGATAGCAGAGAATTACAAGTAATGTTGTATGTTTGGATGTTTGATAATTTTGGTAAATTTGAGTGCAAGTTATGGTCTTTCTGCAGATCTCTCTCTTGTAGGCTTATAAAATGGATAGGTCTGAAAAACGAGTCAGTCCTGAAGGCATGAATAAATGATGCAGAAATACAGGCTAGCTGTTAAAATAATAAAGAAAATTATTTCCATGAGGCATTTAGAAGAGCAGAAAGGAAGCATTAGGGAGATGTGTTTGCAGCAAAATGTCTTCTGCCGTAAGAGCTGACCCAGTTCAGAGTGTCTGCAGAATATACCTGCCTAAAAGCTTTGCCTTTGTCATGCTGCACATAACTTAATAATATTTGCGATATTTGGCTTGTGTTATAGGCAGTGTACCAGTTTGCAAACCTCAGCCAGAGGATGGCACCACTGTTCAGCTTTCCTCACCGCCTTGTAATTCTAACAGCACTGATTTTGTCTCTGTCACATGTTATGGTACTTTCTCATATCTTAATCTTTCTCTCATTTTAATTCACAGGATTTAATGGAGCAGCTTGAAAAGCAAGACAAAACTGTTCGCAAATTAAAGAAACAGTTGAAAGTATTTGCTAAGAAGATTGGTGAACTTGAAGGTACTTTTATATTTTGAGAGGAAGAGAAAGATTTTGGTTTACTTTTTGTGATCCCATTGTCATCGTATCCATCTGTCTTAGCGGTCAGGAGGGCATGAAGTCTTCAGTAGCATTAGCCTCTGTTAATTGATTCCAGAAACAGGAGATGCACTCAGAGCTCTGCGTGTTCCTTTATAAATCTTCAGAATATTTGTCATATTTTGAAGCCATGAGTAAAAGGAGACTGATGTTTCTCTGAAGGCAGAAACCAGTGAAACATAAAGGAATGTTACCTGGCCTATTTGTGTACTCAAAGACAGAATCTATTTTTATAAAGACAAAAGCAATAGTAAATATGAACCAGGCAGAAATAATTTACCCAGTTTTCCTTTGTGAGTTTCTGTATCACTGGAGCCAAGAATGCTGAGACTGTCTTTCTCCGCTTGAGGTTTCCTTTCAGAGCTGCTGGTCAGACTTGAATATGAGAATGCTGAGATATGAACTAAGCTAATCTTATTTTTATGAGTGTCAGAGTGAGTTGCCTTAGGATCTTAGGACTGGTGAGACTGAGAGCTTATTATGTCTCTGCATAAGTAAAGTAATTTTAATTGCTAAAAGCAATTAATAATGTTATAAAGTTGAAGTATTAATTTGTTTTTAAATAATCCTGGTCCTAATCTTTCAGAAGCTTTTTATGGTCATCTGCTTCCTCCACAAACAAGCTCACTGCCTAATGAGTTGTTTTATTGAGTACTAAGATTGAAATTAGTAATGTGTAGTCTTCAGTGTTTGAAAAGAACAGTTGATATATCAGGTTAAACCTGGATTAACAAGAGTATATTATCCTTTAGCTAGTGGCAGCTCTCCTCGAGCTCCAGTTTGGATTTCTGCGTTTTCTATCCCATTTGACAGGTGCACGCATTTAGCACACTTACAGGATGTGCAATCATTTGTAGCGGTTGCAGGCAGCTAGGAGGGTTGTGAGAAGAGGATGTAGTTTTCGTGGGATGAAGCCAAGTTTTGCTTTTCAAAAAGAAATGTGCAGCATAATCAAGTGGAGTGTAGGTGTTGAATGTGAGGCACTGTATGCAACAAAATGGATATTTCATATATCCTTTTGAAAGGTTACTCAAATTAAGGTTGTTTTTAAAAAGTCTTTCAATATTGTTTGGTTACTAGTGTGGACAAGATCACAGTAGTATTCATACAAAATATGGAGTGGGAAAATGTTTCTGGAAACACAGTTTAGTCTGTGTTTATTACCTAAGTAACTTAGAAAGATGTAGTAGGTCTGGCTCGGATGGAGCTAATGTTCTTCGTAGCAGCCTGTATAATGCTGTGTTTTGGATTTGTGGCTAGAACAGGGTTGGTAACACACTGGTGTTTTGGCTGTTGCTGAACAGAGCTTGCACAGTGTCAAGGCTTTCTCTTTTTTCCCATTCTGCCCCCTCAGTGAGTAAGCTGGGGGCATGGGAAGGCACACAGCCGGGGCAGCTGACCCAAACTGGCCAAAGGGATTTTCCATATTCCATACCAACTAACGTCGGGAGCTGGAAGAGGGGTTTTTTGCATCCCAGGTGGCTGCTGTTTGGAGGCTGGCTGGGCATCGGTCCGGCTGCAGGGGTGGGCATGAGTGATTGCCTTTGCTTTGCTTTCCCCTCCGGCCCTTTCCTTCACCTATTAAACTGTCTTTATCTCAACCCACGAGTTTTCTCACTGTTGCTCTTAATATTCTCTCCCCTGTCCTGCTGGAAGGCTGGGGGGGAGCTGAGCCAGTGTGGGGGTGTGGGTGCTTGCCTGCTGGTCAAGGTAAAGCTACCACAATAGGTAACAAACATGAAGCTTGAAAAAACCTGGCATTTTGCAGAACAATTAACAGTGACCCTTGCAATATTAATCTGGGATTAAGTGATTAACGGCTATTGCTTCGCCTTTGTGCTTTTATGTGATAAAATCCAGGAGATCGGCAGTAAGACTGTATTAATGGATGCCATTCACGCGCTTCCACTCTTCTTCCAAGGAAGAATGCCAGCCCAAGATATATTTATCAACAATCTGTCTTTTTGTTTCATGGGAGTTTTTTTACTAAGTGTTACCCTGAACCAAAGAAAGACATTTCCTAGTTCTATATGCTGGAGTTCTTCCTTAGAAATGTCATAGTTGTTGCACATCACATAGTTGTTGTGCATTGGTTTCACTGGAAAATATTATATTACATAATTTCTTTTTATTTCCCTTCTGAAGTGGGCCAGATGGAGAACATATCACCTGGACAAATCATCGACGAACCTATTCGTCCAGTCAACATTCCACGGAAAGAAAAGGACTTCCAAGGGATGTTAGAATATAAGAAGGAGGATGAACAAAAACTTGTCAAGAATCTTATTTTAGGTAAGCATCTTTCTCATTTTCAGCCTCCTCTGCTCCCACCCATTCTGAAAAATAAATAATGAGAACACAGAATTTGCATTATGAAATGAATAGCTTATTTTCATTTTGACAGTGTTCAGTTTATCTAAAAGTTCTAAATGTCTGTTGTAATCTTATCATCCTTCCTGATGACTATAGTATGTATTAATGTGTCTGGATATTTTTAGCAGGCAGTTATGTTTTATTCTGTTCTGATATTTTGCCAAGAAAGTGGCTCTTCTTAGTTTTACTCTGTTTTCACTGGCCATATATAGATACGTATGTACAATTACCTGGGGAGGATGCGATTACCACATATAACACCTTCTAATGGCTTTGTACTTAACAAAACAATGTGTGTTTGTTTTTCCCAAGAGCTGAAACCACGTGGGGTAGCCGTCAACCTGATTCCAGGACTACCAGCATATATTTTGTTCATGTGTGTACGCCATGCGGATTACCTTAATGATGACCAAAAAGTGCGGTCGTTGTTGACTTCCACTATCAATGGCATCAAAAAAGTGTTGAAGGTTAGTTAGTCTGCTTGGTTTAGGAAAACATTATTTTAAAATTTGCTTTTAATTTTATGTTAGAGGAGTGAGGAAAAGACTTTCAATGAATTGGCTCTAGATTTCTGATCAGTAAAGCCCTCCCACCAAAGTTACAAAAAGTTGTTAACAAGCAGCAAATTATAATGATAGCATTTTATTCACATAATACCACAGATGGTTTGAATTAGTGGAAAAAGAACTACCTTATTTTTATTTTGAATAGACTTCCTCCTTTGAAGCTATGCCTGTAAAGCTTTGGATGCAGTCAAAGTTTGCATAGTGAGTCTTTGTAACCCAGCATACTTAATTAAAATGCTTCATTTGCAGTTTTGGTTCACAGATTTCCCCATTTGCTTCACCTACAGGTTGATAATACATTGATGATAATATGTTACTGCCTGAAGTCTTTGCAATGAGTTGGCTAGGAGAGTTTACTCCATGGGTATCTTGAAGGCAATATTAAGACATAAATATGCTTTATGCTTCATGGAGTTTTATAGTTTTTAAATAAAGCAGATGCACTCAAAACCCAAGCATTTAATCAAGCTACGTGTTTTGATAGTAAACAGTCCTGTAGGAGCATAGATATTCATAGAAACTTTTGGACACATTTAGGTGAATGGAGTGCATGCTACAGAACTCTAGAAATTTTAATTACTCAGCATATACTGGATTCTATGTTCTTTGGTGAGAAGGGCTTTTTGGTTTATTTGTTTTCCATATCAGGCTGCCAAAATGGTTATGCTGTAAGTGACATTCACGGAAACAGAATTGTTCTCTGCTCCTCCTGCTGGCTCTGCGTGATTCCCATCCTCCGTGTTGGGCTCTTCACAAGAGTCATTGTGCCGCGGAATGCATATTTTAGGAATACAGTCACATTGCCCTGTGATTTCTGCACAGAGCAGTTAGGATGGGTGTGTAAAATACAGAAAGATCGTATCTGTGGAGGAAATCATATTTTGCAAGTTTTTGAAAAACATTACAGAAAACAGGGAGGGTGTTTAATGGTATTTTGTCAAAAACCTTGCTTTTCTAATATGTTACTGAAATACACAAAGTTTTGCAAAACATCAGAATCTGAGCAGCTACAAGAAAGTAGATTTTAAGTGTTTAATTTTTTATCTAACATTTTATTATTTTATTCCTCCTACCAGTCTTTGTTGAAATGTGTTTGTTTTTATCTTCAGAAAAGAGGTGATGACTTTGAAACGGTGTCCTTCTGGCTATCTAACACCTGCCGCTTTTTGCACTGTTTGAAGCAATATAGTGGAGAAGAGGTAAGCGGTGCTCCTACTCTGGTTTCTTTTGCTCTACAATACTATTGTGAGCACTGCTCTTTAACAAATTCCTGTAATGTTTCAATATCTCGATATCTAGCCAAAGCTTAAATCTCTTAAAACAGCTGCACTTTTTGGAATAATGGTGATGATGTCAGTGGAATGCACGGAGGGATGAGATTTGAACCGGTTTCCCTTTATTGCAGGCTGGGGGCCCAGAGGCTGGCTGACATTATGCTCCCAAAAGTGCCAACTCACATTAAGTAGAAGAATCTAGCTGTGGTCATTATGGTGTTTAGTAATGATTCACTGAAATTCCTATAAAAAGGGCCATATTAAGCCCTTTAACCATAGTATGACAGACCAGCTTATGTTTGGAGGCTGTGGCATGCATAATTTCTTCTTCAGGCTTAACTGGGATTTTGGCTATAAATGGTTAGGTGAGAATGCCCATGCTGGAGTGGGAGGCAAGGGTCTTACCTGCCAGAAAGTTGGCAGAGTTTGTGCCTGTGTCAGATATTTGAGTTTGCAAGTCAAGGAAGCAGATGTGGCACAAGTCAAATTGAAAAGCAAATCTTAGCATTAGCATCAATCAGAAGAACTTCCAAATTGAAGTTTTGAGGAGCTCTGACTATTATTTTGGAAGTATTATTTGTCAGTTGCATGAAAAAATATCAGTACTGGTTTTGTGTAATATTTTTGTATTCCGTTGAAGCATTTGTTTCTGTTATTTTATGAATTCAGGGGTTTATGAAGCATAATACACCTCGTCAAAATGAACACTGCCTCACTAATTTTGATTTAGCTGAATACAGACAAGTATTGAGTGACTTGGCTATTCAGATCTACCAACAACTTGTCCGAGTGTTGGAAAACATTCTGCAACCAATGATTGGTAAGGGAAAGCTGAGTTCCTTAAACTTCACACCGTAGTACCAAAATGAAAACTGTGATGGTGGTAATATGCTATATCTTGTATTCGCTCCTCACCAGTAGAGTTTTATTAATAGTTCTTGTGGTATTCTGTTTATAGATGACAAGGACTACATTGGACAGGTTGGATTAGAGGGAAAACTAAACTGTGGCTGGTTCTTCTGGCAGTGACAGAATAAATCAATTTACCTTATTCATACTTGTCATAAATCACGCGTTTACAGGAGGAAACTGTTAGGACGGTCTGACGTTGGTTGCCCAGTGTGTTGGGCAATATCCCGTGGAAAAACTGGACTTTAATTACATGATAACTCATAATTAAAATGGATATGGAGACAAATGGCTGGTTGTCATTATGGACAGCAATCAGCAATGAAATAGCTAGCACTGATGAAGCTTACATTCAGAGAGATTTTTTTCATGTAAAAGTACTTTTCATTTTTCTTGTCAGACAGTACTCTCACGCAAATTTTCATTATACTTTCCGATCCCGCCATTTAGAAGAATGAAACAGCTCTTGGTTTGCTGACTCTGCTGTTCACATGACCGTGGGAGGAAAAAAGTATTTCGCTGAGCTAGTTAGACCTTCCTTTCAAAGAGACACGCTGGAATCTTTGTACAAACCCTGTAAGCTTAGCTTTTGTAGAACATAGTGGGACACAGAGAATTGCTGGAAATCATGGCAAGGGGTGGCTAGCAGAAAGCTCGGCCTGCTCTTTCTGTATAAATACTAAGTTTTGCTGTCTTGCACAATATGCTTGCATATAGGAATTTTCAGTCATTTTAATAATGTTGTCAATCAAATGCAGTTTCAGGAATGCTGGAGCATGAGACTATCCAAGGTGTCTCAGGGGTGAAACCAACAGGGCTGCGGAAGAGAACATCCAGCATTGCTGATGAAGGAACTTACACTTTGGACTCCATTATTCGGCAGCTGAACTCCTTCCATTCAGTGATGTGTCAGCACGGAATGGATCCAGAGCTGATCAAACAGGTTGTCAAGCAGATGTTCTACATCATTGGGGCTGTAACGCTTAATAATCTTCTCCTGCGCAAGGACATGTGTTCATGGAGCAAAGGAATGCAGATAAGGTGGGAGAGCTCATTTTACACTTTTCTTGAATGTGCTGCTGGAAATCTTAGTGAACTCTTGACACTGGTGAACATCATTTTGATGGAATAGCAGATACACTTTGAATATTTATTTTTCCACACGCAAACAGTTGCAGATGCTGTTAAACTGAGTTTGAGTAGTTCAGTTAAAAAGAGCTTGGTTAATTTAGGCCAAATCCTACCTGGCTTTCAAGGAAATGTGGTAGAAGCAAAACAAAAGTATTTCATCATCAAGTAGGAATCAGAACTGTAGGTGAAATGTTGGTAGTTGCTTTCTCGGCTTTTAGAGAAGAATAACAAACATGCCTGCTGCGTTCTTTGTATGCTGGTGGCTCAGTGGACACCTGCTGTGTTCACCCACACTATAGTTTGCTGCATCCTGCGGCAAAGCCATCTTACTCTATTCCTGCCTTTGGCATCAGTTGTCCAATGCATTCTACTGGCATATGCCAGGAAATTCAGCCCAGGCATTCCAGTCCCTTAAAGTAAACTTGAAAAGCCTCACTGTACATTTGCATGGACAAAATCTCATTTGCCTTTCTTCTTATATTTGTCACGTTCCTGCAATTAATAAGAACAGAAACAAATGGAAAAAGCTAGTTAGTGGATGTCTTTGGCCATAGTTTCTAACTGCTTTGAAACTGAAAATTTCCTGCCTTGATCAGAAGGAAACAGTATGGAGACAGAATTACAAGAAATGACAAGTGTGAAGGAAAAACATGTAAGGACAGAGAAGAAACACTGGGAAAGAGAAATTGCACATGCTTTTAATTTAGCCATAATCAAGCGTTAATGTCTTGATACTCTTACCTCTTTGTACAGATACAATGTGAGTCAACTGGAAGAATGGCTACGTGATAAAAATTTGATGAATAGTGGGGCTAAAGAAACACTGGAACCCCTCATCCAGGCTGCACAGTTGTTGCAAGTAAAAAAGAAAACGGATGAAGATGCAGAAGCCATTTGTTCAATGTGCAATGCACTGACTACTGCCCAGGTAAGCAAACTCTCATTGTCTGTTCTGCTGTCACTTCTGAGCAGTTCTCTGCTCTGTTGGCGTTTGCTGTGCCTGCCTGCATTGCTGTCGCCCATGGATCAAAGATTTCTTACTTTGTTTTGAAGATTTCTTACTTAAACTAAAGTAAACTTCTTTCAACTTTCTTACTTAAACTAAAACAGATTAAATTGGAGGGATAAAAAAAGGACCAGATCTTTTCTGAGGTCTGATGTTCAAGATAAGTTTTGACCAAATGAGAGGAAACTCAATAGATTGTGCAGTGTGTAGTACTATACATAGTCTCTCAGTTTGTGAAAATCCTTAGAGAAAACTCTTCACACTAAGACATCTCTGTACTCCAGGCAACTCTGCCTAGGATACTAGGAAATTATCTTTCTGCCATCAGAGTTGGTATCCAGTTAAGTTAATGGACAATTCACACAGAGCTGTTGTCTCAGGGTCTGCAAACAAAAGTGTTAAGTTACTGTACCCATTAGCCTCAGCAAGGCTCAGCCAAGTGTATCTCAGGAAACAGCTGAAGACTTCTATTTATGAAAGCTTAGATTTTGTACAGATAAGTTGCACTTTTTAAAATCGTGCTACATTTGCATAGAGCTTGTGCAGGAATAACTGGATCCAAGCATTTTTGGTGATTACTGGACATTCTCGTCAGGAAAAGGAAGAAATTTCTCCATTTCTTTCACAATGGTGTCGGCACTGGTGGTTGCATTGATACAGCCGTTTTGATTTAGTAATTCACGTTGCTGGAAAATCTGTTAGTTTTGTACTGAAATAAGAAGTTAGCATTCCACGTGCGTCAAGTGTTTTAACTTTGTTAAAAAGTGTTGTGTTTTTTTTAAAGGGGAATCATGTAAACAAGAGAATTTTTTATAAGTTTTACATGTTTAACCCATATTATTATGTAAAGTCTTTGTGTTGCTGTTCTTTCCTGTAGTCACTTTAGCCCTATTTTCAGAGAAATAGCTCACGCTCTTGAAAAATAGTGAAGTCGTAAGACTCTCTTGAATGGAAGCTACAGGAGGTCAGAATTATAGGGTGAGAATTAGGGAGAGAAATACAGCATGATGTAGGAACACAGTCAGTTACTTCTCATCTGATTTTTCCATAGTTTGGCATTTTCCACACTCCTGTAGGATTTTAGAGTTTCTACCTCCAAAGAACACGTGTTCTGAAGGAGGCAGTTGTATAACATTAAGCAGGTGATGGAATTCTGTATGAATCAATAAAGCAAAAAATAACAAATACTTGTAAAGAATTTTCTTTTTAAGATAGCTAATTGTAAAAGTATATTATTAGTAACCATGGATGCATCTGTTGATTCATCAGTAAAATGAACCTAAGCATGGTTGTTCTTCTTCACAGATTGTAAAAGTTCTGAATTTGTATACTCCAGTTAATGAGTTTGAAGAGAGAGTCTTGGTATCATTTATACGTACAATACAGGTATGGCTATATCTTTTCATCAAAAATCATTTCACTATTTCTAAGAAACCCTCTGATGAGCCAAAATAGCACGTATCCTCAAATACATTCAGGAATCTGAAGGAAACTAGGCTTTTTAGCTGTCGTTTCTTAGCTATGTTGAAAAAGTGATTGCCAGCCTTAAAATTTTAAGCAATCACAATTTACTGCCTGCGGACTTGCATGAAAATGTTAGTTTCCCTGTCAGCACGTATGAGATTTTTGGAAGGTAAGAGTTTTTTGTGCCTATGCATCTTTGTGTATATAAACACACTTGTATGCCAACTTTTCAAGTGGTTACATTTATATATGCAAATTTTCTTTTGTCAGACCTGTGTCTGCATGAGAAGTTCCAACTGCTGTGAAAACTGAGGCCTGTGTTCATTCCGAAGTTCTTCATTTAGCCCTTCTAGTTTTATATATATTGATAAAAATGAAACATTTTGAAAACTCCAAAGAAAAGCAGCCAGTAGAGCAAAATAAAAGAAACGAAGATGGTCTTTCTGGTCTGTTAGAAGTCAAATTGCATTACAAGCAGGATAAGGGAGATTGGGAAGGTAGAACTGAGATAAAACCATCATTCCACTGACTGAAAAAATGCAGTTACCAGATAATGGGCAAATTCTTCTTTTTGCAGGTAATCTAAATATCCTCAGATTGCATTGTAAGGGGAAGATACACAAAGCCGAAAATGATGAAAGTAACTACAGTTTAATGGCACAATTGTTGCAAATGTGTCCGGTCAAGTTAGCATAGAGTGTGTGTCTGTACACGCATGTGTATCTGTAAGCACAGATGAACTACTGCCTCTTTGCAAGATGATTATCACCAGTGAAGTGGCTAATTGGTAATGTAATCACTTTCTTATCTTTGCAGATGCGTCTGCGAGACAGGAAGGACTCTCCTCAGTTGCTCATGGATGCTAAACACATCTTCCCTGTTACTTTTCCATTTAATCCATCCTCTCTGGCATTAGAAACCATTCAGATCCCAGCCAGCTTGGGCCTGGGCTTCATATCACGTGTCTGATCCCAAGGATGTACCGTCAGTGTTAGATGGAGAAGCAGTTCCCTGATACCTTTACCCGTTAAAACATAGTGAGCTACTGAAAACACATTTTCTGAACAGTCTATATATGCCCAGATCTGTAGTAAAAGTAGCTGGAAAACTACATAAAAGCACGACAGATTGAAGGCTAATAGAAAGATACGCATTTGTGTTCAGTCATTGCATTTATGAGGACATCGCTGATTCATACATTTCCAGAATATGGAAATCGGGCTTGGACAAAAATTGTGTCTTCAGCTGTCTAGAGACATTTTTAGATCTTTAGTAACATATTTAAATAGTGTAAATTAAACTCCATATGTAATCTTCTCCTAGGCAGGGACCAACAGGGACAGTCACAGTCCTGAACATGGAAGACTTGAAAGTAAGGCATTTTGTAGTAGAATACACCGTCACTTGGGAGCCTATTACATTTAATTTGTGAAAACTGGAATGGAGAAACACAAACTGGCAATATATAAAATGATTTCTTAAACCACTTCCTTATTTATGTCGGTTTGACATAAATTCTAGTGATAAGTCTTATAGCTCACTATATGCTATAACTTAGGTGTTCATTTGTTAGTACTGTGGTTTACCAAGCATACTAAATCGCTGCTGCACATTGTGTTCTTTTAAATGTATGACAGTATGACACTAGGCACTAAAAATAAGATATTTCTTTTTTTGTTGTCAACCTTATTTACAGTCCGATTCAGCCTGTTATTTTAACTGGATTTTTGCAAATGGTATCAAATAACACCTGTAGACGAAAATGGTAACTAAGCACAAGTAGCACACTGGAAATTACACGTTTAGTTATTTTTAAAAGTAGTTAGCTAAAAATACAGAATCTTGAAGCCAATGATCAGAAGTCAGTAATGATTTTAGTATTTATTTAGGTTTTGTAGTCTGTCTACTGTTCTTCTTTATTTGTAGACCCCAGAGATGACAGTGTGTATTTTGAGTATAATCTTTTTTGTTTTGTTGCCACTTAAAAAGAAAGGAAAAAAGGTATTCTTTCATGCTGGAGTTTGAGAGGAAAAACTTTAATAGAAAATTTCTGCAGTAGCCCAAGGCTCTCATTCTGTGAAAGGCTGACTAACAAGAACGTTAAGTAGGTTTTGACTACGATGCTGTCATTAGACTATGATTCATGCTGATTTAATGGTTGGAGATCCAGAGTGCATAATGAGAAACTGAGTTATTTTGGATATTGCACATCTTATTGGAAAGATTTTTCTGTCTCACACGTCTTGGGTCTGCTACACAGAATTCACATTTCACAATGTGTAATGTAAGTGCAGAAGCCCGGCTGAACGTTCCAGTTCTGAACTTTAAAACAGGTAGTTTGTAGTGTATGGCTCAAATATACATGTAAAAAAAAAGCCACACTCATTGCTCAATTGCATTGTGCAATATTTTTTATGTATTATAATAATTAGCAACTTAGCATTAACATTAATTTCTTTGAAAATATTGAGAAATAATCTAGAGGTACACTGTTAGACTATTTGGTACTGATCTGTTTGCCTGCAAACTCACAGGAAAAAACTTGCTGTTAAGCAGACTGAAACATTTCAGTTGTGCTTGTCTTGAGAGGTAGACATGCTGTTTGTATGGTTGCTAAAATTGGTAGTGAAGACACCCTAAACTTTGTCAGTATGATTTTAAGATGTACATGTCGTCTTATTTTCAAATGTGTATGCCCCATATTATGTTTGATGGATCATGGCAGTACTTCCAAGAACCTAATACTGCATAAACGTTTTGAATGATCTTTGCTAAATGATGTAGATTGTTTTCCTATGCATGGTATACCAAACACTCTTTATTCAAATGTGACTTGATTTCTGAAACTATGGCTACTGTTAAGTGGCTCCAAATAAGGTATAATGTAGTTGTCGGACTGCTAGGGGTACTGTACTTGTGAGAATGTAACGGGAAGGCCTTCACATCCAGTAACAAGGTTAGGAAAGAAAATACGTGAGAACATGCTGACCTACAAAATTTTTCTCTTATTGAAAAACAAACAATTGGCATTGCAGTATGTTCATACTGTAGATCAGGAAATGTATCCACTACTTAAGCGTTAGTGTATGAAAATGTATGCCTAAATGTAATTTTGTTTATTTTTTTAAGTTTGTTTACCTGTAAAAAGCCTTATTGTATCTTGTTTCCTTAAAAAAAGTAGTGTTTAGTAATTTATAGGTATTATCCTTAAACTCAGTGGTTTGACTAGTATTACTTTTATATCACATTAAAAGTATATGCTGCTTGACATGTTTTAAAGGAAAATATTTTTAAGTTGGAATAGATGTGTAATTGGTAATTCCTCTAATATTTTACATGGCAGTATTTTACATGCACTTTTCAGAAGTAAAATTTTAGTGTCAGTATAATAGTATCTTTCACCTTAGGACTAATATCTCTTTAACCATGGAATATAATGCAGAATTATTTTAACAACTTTTTTTTTTTTTCCTTTGAATCATTGTTATGCTCTTTTAATGTGGACATATCTTTTATATTTTAATTTATTATCTATTACTATGATAGATTCTATCGGATGCTGGAAAAATACTTGTCAATGACCCCTTAGAATTATATACAGTTATTCTAGAGATTTTGCACAATAATTACCTCATTCAATTTGGTGTATTTTTATTCCAGTGATCATTTTATTCTAATGTTTAGGACACAGTCTTCTATCCAAATTCTGAAAAATTGCTTCTCAGACTTCAATCTGGGATGGAATGTGAAAGTGCTTAAATCCGTTAAATGTGATTAATCTATTCTATCACAGGAAAAAATAGGATCAACTTCAGTGTTGAGAAGTGGATTGCTGTCCAGTAACATTTGTTCCCAACTTGGAAACACCAGCATTTGCAATTTGAAGGTCTGTGTAATTTGTGATTTAAAATGAACACATTTCAAATACCATACGAAAACTATGAGTAAACACTTGTTTTTTTTAAGATGCTGATACTTCATGTGACAAATAAAAGCCTTTAAACGTAGGTTTTCACTCGATGCCACTACAGTACGTAGATGAAAACCAAAATGTTGTCAGAATGACCTGAGCGCTGATCTGTTGTAGTGTCTGATGTTGTACTTAGTAAATGTATGCATCATAAAAACTGTAGCCTAATAGCTATCACTGGGAAATGTCCAAATAAAAATACAACTGTAAGATTTGCTTTGGGGTTTCTGTTTGCTTGTTTGGTTGGTTGTTCGTAAGCTGTGTGCTGGCATAGTCCCCAGCCGATCACACAGGTTCCCTCTACCTTCAAGGCAGACTTGGTGTTGCCTGTCAAGGCAGTCGGTTAAAATCTGAAGATGGTGTAAATGCACACCCAGGTACCGACAGTATGCTATGAACTCCTGTGCATATTGGAAAATATTTTGTTCAACATAACCCACTTCTGTTAGGATATTTTGTCACCAAATGTTAACTGTTACTGAAATAAGAACTAAGATTTGTACTTTGCTAAAACATTGTCTTCTTTCCCATGAGAGCTCTCTGGTGGCAGGCAGGCCGGCAGGCAGGGCTGGTGGGCCTCCGGGCATACATCCACCTGCCCAAACCGGGGACTACCTTTATTCAAATCTTCTTTCCATAAAGGATATTTAAATATAACACCTATTAGTGCCCTAAGGATGCATTTACTAAGCTGAGTTTTTAGATATTTTTATCTAAGTTTGTTAGAGAAACTCCTTGATGGCCTTTTATCTAGGACAGCGATTAACGTTTTTCCCTGATGAGTGAGGAATGGCTCCCCTCGCGAGCCCGCCAGCAGCTAGAGTGGCCATTATTCCTAATCCCTAAAGACGTACCCAAGATCACTCGCCAGGATCAGTTTAAGGCCTGTACCTGTATATGATAATCGGGACCACTACTCATCTCCACTATACTTATATACCCCAGGAGCAAGCGTGCAAGCCGTGTGCATGAAGAGCCCCACACATGCTGTAACCGGGTGCGGCGGGTCCCTGGGGGGAGCGGAGCGGAGCGCCTCAGCTGTGCCTACGGCGGGGAACCGCCTTCCTCCTCCGCGGGGAAGGGCCGTGCCCGGGTGGGACAGCCCCGGGATCCGGGCCGCGCCGCTTCCCCACGCCTCGGGGGCGGCGGCCGGGGGCGGTCCGCGACGCCGCGGCCACCCGCGGGACCCGCC